GGAGTATCTCATACACCCAATGTGACATCGACTCGAAAGTGCAACATACGAGTGAGCCAAGTCGTGTCCAATCAGCTTGATGCCCCGATAACTTCTAGTTGAAAACGGCCGTAGAGAGGAAAATTGAGGTATCTGACGGTCAGCTGATCATAATGCTATTACCGTTTAAAGCCAGTTTCATGCCAGCAACTAGAAAGTAACATTTTAGCTCCAACAATTGTCCGTAGTCACACGCAAGCGTGAGGCTGGGGTGCAGACATACGTTTCTGGGTGTATTTTTCCAAAGGTGCAAGGGTATCACAAAATACCCTAACTGGGGTAGATAAGCTAGATGTCAATGCTTAGTATGACTATGCCCCCAATAGAACAAATCAGCGCGGACTCTCACGGGCCGTATCAGGGATTCCTGAGAGATGATAAAGAAAGTATATCTCCTCGATAATGAGACAAGCTTGAAACGCACGTTGAAGATCATCAAAGTCTAAAGTTTTGTTTTCGGCAGATCAGTCACTGCTGGAAACCTGATAGATTAATTACCGCGCACATTGTGGCGTGGTTCACAACTGCTGCCGAGAGAGCTTCAACCTTGACCTCATTCATTTCCGTCATTCTCAGGAGAGCGTCTGTTTCTCTGTTAGTCGTTCAGATTTCATATCCCAAGAGGAAAGAAGGGACTCAAATACATTCCTGCATATGGCGAAAACCATCAAGGGGCCAGGGGTAACATTTGAGTTCTTACGTAGCGCCACAGAATCCTGCCAGCACCCGTGCAATGTCTACACTGCAAGCTGGTTCTTTTCCGATGAAGTTGGACATGATTGGATCCAGGCAGACATAAGTGTTAGCACCCAATCCGGGTATAAGCAATGTGATATACCTATGTGTGCAGCTGGCATTCACAACACATGTGCTTAATCTGATCAGTAAGAGAAGATTTCGTGCTGTGAGGTTCTCTACGTCATCAAACAGCCGGCTATGATCATAAAAATACCACACGCTAACCTGTATCTAGTCGTCTTATGGAGCCATGAACGCCTATCCCTGTGCGAGTACTGCTTAGTCTGGCCCTGATTGCATATTTTTGAGCTACCTGCATAAAAGTCAAGGGACCACGTCCTATTTGCTCAGCAGTGCTCAAAATGTAGAGTTCTCCATTTGCATCGGATGGGAGCCATTTGAATCGGGTCCGACCAATGGTAGAAAGTTACTAGCGCTATGATGTAGCACTCCTCGGCGAATGGACCCATTTTGATACCCATACTCTGACGCAGAGATTTTTTCCGTGTTCATTAGACTCTATGCAAAGTGGGGAAATGATAGAACGCGGTTGTAGATTCACTGATACGTCTATAATGGAGGCATCTTGCGCACAACCTTTCCCTCATTCCTTGCATGTATCCTGAGCTTCTCCAGCACGGGTGACTTCACCCACCGCTCAGGGGGTGTGCGACCTTCAGTCGCCCAATAGTATATGTCCCAGTCCGGTTCGTCAAGTAGCTACAATAAAACTTAAGTTTGGGACACCACCAATCAAAGAAGCGAAAGCACCTTGTCGTACTCCTTCAATTCTGTCTCATCCATTTGCCTCAGATGATCCCTTGCGAACGTACTCAGCAGAAGGTCGCTCTCCAAAGTTCCGCGCTTCCTGCTCTGATAGACGAGTCTTGCACGCAACGTCTCCTTGGACTCCCCTGCGCGTGGAAGGGGAGTAGGCGGTGGGATATCAGAAGGTGTCTGAGTGTTGGAGAGGTGTTGTGGGGTATGCGGAAGGGGCCACGGGTCTGCAGACCACCGCAGTGTCGTAGAGAGTGTGCGACATGGATGGCGCATTGCCTCAAGAGTCAATATTCGCGAAGAGAGAAATGTAGTAGACATTTTGAGGAGCTTGACTAGCGAAACAAGCGAAGCTAGTGGATTAGTTACAAGCGAATGTAAACATAAGCAGCGCGCGCCAAACTAAGCGTTCATCAACGCATGCGGTATCGTTCACACTGGTACCATCCCACAACCCCATCTATCCAACTCATGACATCTACTGGCAGAGCAGGATATGAAATGGTTCCCGTGCACGAACAAGCACGTCGTACCTCTTCTCCATGGCGCAAATCACCAATTTCTTACTTTTCGTGTTTGCGACCACGGAGAGTATTCACGTTATTGAAATTTGCACTTCCACTGGTTTTTATCATATGTTACACGATATACTACCTCTACGACCCGCGCGGCCACATCGACCTCGTATTGTATCAACGAGAATGGATACAACGCGAAATACTCCCGCTGTCCCCACTTGGAGGATGCTTTGAGCCCGAGCGCGTCAGCCCGTTGTATAATATCAGCGAGGCTGTGTACGGCAAGAAACGCTTTGAGGTTCAGGCAGGAGTAACGATGCGGATGGGTATGGACTGCTATGAGTTTGCAGGAACAGTAAGGTTTGCAGAAGGGGAGTGGACCGAGGAGCAACGGTATATCCCACCTGAGGAACGAGCACAGTTCCACACATATTGGCGTGTCGATCTCGCGCCTCTCGATGAGAGACAAGAGTACATGCTAAAGTCATTCTTCGCTACGCAAGACCTTCCCCGCTCTCGTCTAATACTCTGGTCAAACGGAGACCTGTCACTCAATCCAATTGTGCAAAAGTATCTCGAGTTGTTCCCTGACTCATTCGCACTTCAAGTTGTGGATATACCCGAATTAGCTAAGGGAACGGCAATGGAGAACCACCACTTCCTTAATCTTGAGGACAAGAAGGCATGGGTGGACGGCGACCTTGTCCGGTTACTTGTCATTTGGACATATGGTGGTGCTTGGATAGACATGGACATGCTCCTGACACGCGACCTCTCTCCATTGCTTGAGCATGAGTTCGTAACGCAATGGGATTGCTACGGTGAATGGACAATCAACCCGCTTTGGCCCACGTACTCACAAGATTCTATAGACAAAATTTACCAAGCATTCAATGGTGCTCTCATGCACTTCCGCAAGCACTCGCCTTATCTCTGTGAAGCTTTCCATCTCATGGCATACAGTACTCCTCCACGTTCTCCAAGCACCGATTGGGGCGCAATTTTATATCTTCGGCTCTGGCGGCGCCTCCTCAGCGAATCCATACCCCCTTTCAAAATTCTACCGTTCTGCCTTTCTGATCCTCTGGCTTGTCGTCTCGACAACAGTGTACCAGACCCCTTTGACCCTGATCGTCGAGATGGGAAGTGGACGGGCCGACCTGGGGAGGGGCTTGAGGAGGGCGGAGCGCTGGAAAAAGCACTAGGGAAGATATTTGCTGTGCATTTGCATAATCGTTGGGATAGAGCGTTTCCCCAAGGCGGTTGGGTGGATCGGCTTTTGTTGAGGAGGTACGAGGAGGACATAGAGAAGAAAGTGAGAATAGATAGCGAGCTATGATATATTGATCTGCTGTGAGTACTTGCATCCTAGGCGACAGCGGCAGAAGCTAATGATATCTACTATGGACGTGAACTACAGCACTTACATGATTCAGACTGATACAATGTTTATACGCGCGCTATATATATTTATCGCAGGATTGGTGTGTGTGGATTATCTTGCTAATCAAAAGTATTGCATGCATGTGAGTCTCATAGTGAAATCGTTGCTCTACTACGTATGGGTACGCTTAAAATCATTAGTACGTGACGCGCTCACTGACTGGGATCATCCGATATTGCTCACGAATCGTCCACAGATTCGCTAGTAACTTGGCGAACTTCCCAATTTTAATTCAAATACATTGGAAGCATGTGGTTTTCTTTGAGTTGTGCCTCCGCCCACCGTAACTATTTCAACTGGTATTCAACTCCGGAGTCTTCCCTCTCCTTCTCATTCGAACAATGCATTATACACTGGCCTAATTACTATTGAATCAGGCCTGAAGCCTGAGCAGGCGCATATCGGACTTCATTCCAAGCTATAAGTGGGCTCGAAACCGCACTCACTTGGGCACTATTAATCATCGTAACCCAATGCCAGACCTCTATAGCGGGAGGCTACGGCTCTATTTATCGAGGACAGACTACGAGCCAGGACTCCTGCCACTGTGCCAGGACACCTGCTACTGCGCCATGACCTGCCTAGGCCTGATGGGACGCCCCGCTCCAACGCTTTTTGTATTAGGTCGATAGAATGGGCAAGGACTGCGAGGGGAGCCAAGGCTAAACCTCTATGGCGGGAGGCTACGGCTCTATCTATCCAGGACTAACTACCACACTGCGGGGACTACCGACTACGAGCCAGGACTCCTGCTACTGCACCAGGACACCTGATACTCCCGAGGACCTGCGCCAGATCCTACTACACCACCGACTACGAATCAGAACTCCTGCCACTGCGCCGAGGCTGGCGCTCCGAAGGACCTGCGCCAGGCCTCCCCACTACATCGGTATCCATGATTATGTACTGAATGCATGATCAAATGAATAGCGAATTGCTTGGAAGCGAAGCCCAAGCCAAAAGCGGACGCGTCTAGCAGAGTATCGCGAGGCAACCACAGTTTAGCACCTGCTGTGAGACCTGTTAGCTAGGGCAAGAAGAACGCTAGACGGCGGGGATGGCAGCGGTTTCGAACTGCGAAAGTTCTTGTCAAGGGCCTACCGCTGCCCCAGCCGCACCAACCATCTCGTTCTGTTCAGGAATGATATTACTGAGCCCATATACCTAATGGGAGTACAAATTCCGAGGCATGATTGCAACTGTGTTCGATGACCGACCAGCTGCAAACGGTAACTATGACCTATCGGGAGGGTAGTTTATACGGTTGGGGGAGGGCTATTGAGGGGATACGACACTTCAGACCCCAGATTCGGTAGCCTTTGGGACATCCGGACCATAAAACCCACTCGCCAAGGAAACCCTGATCGGAAGTTTCCGCGGGACTTTTGGTCTCTCCGTACAAAGACGATGCTGGACTACTGTGCTATAAAGGGCTCGTACCAGTTATCATACTCAAACTATACCCTTGACCTTGACGACAACAGATGGCTGTTCTTGACATCAGCAAAGCTCGTGCTTGCTTTCCGTCCCTGAGATCAGGACACATTTATGCCGATAACGCAGGGGGGTCACGGACTGCTCAGGCAGTGATCGATCGGATCGTGGATTATCTGTCCAACACCAACGCTCAGCTGGAAGCTGGATATGCGGCCGTGAACTCTCAGCGTGTTGCTGAGGGCTCCATTGCTGCTGTAGAGTTGTTCAATGCTACATCTCTCGATGAGGTTGGGTTTGGATCGAGTGCGACAATGTTACTTGAAAATATCGCTAGAGCACTTGAAAATGATATTCAACCTGGAGATGAACTTATCATCATGTATGAACATGAAGGTGTCTGCCACTGTCTTCCCGTGTCTTTTGTTGAGAAAACTCACTGTTCATCTTAGCCAACAACGGTCCTTGGAAGCGTCTGGCTGCGCGGCGCAATGCCGTGGTCAAATACTGGCATCCCATACCAGTATCTGCAGAAAATCCGTACTCGGTGACATATAGGGTCGAAGAACTTTTGCCGCTGGTTTCATCGCGCACCAGGCTGGCCGCGATCACCGCGTGCTCCAATATTTTAGGATCTGTGATTCCTATGGAAGAGACAGTGAAAGCCCTTCGCCAGCGTGCAAAAGAACAAGGAGCAATGAAGATCGAGGTGGCTTTGGACTGCGTTGCATACGCATCGCATAGAAGAATAGACGTACAAAAGTGGGATGTCGATTACTGCGTAATTTCTGTATACAAGGTTTCAGTATCCACGACTTCGATTTGATTGTCTGACACTGACACTATTTGTAGGTGTTCGGGGCTCACAATGCCGTTGCTTATGTGCGGCCAGCAGCTCTGCAGACATCTTTCACGTCCATTGTCCACGATTTTCTAGACGTGGATGACAAGCCCCGTAAGTTTCAACCAGATGGTCCAGGCCAAGAGCTCGTGTATGGTGCATCGGCAATCGTGCCATATCTGAAGTCGTTGACTCCAGAAGATGATCTTACAGCATCTTTCAACACGATCGCAAAACACGAGCAGGAAATTTTGACGCCCTTGCTTCGCTTTCTGACAGACGCAAAACAAGTTGACAGGGGCGTTCGCATCATCGGGGAAAGCGAGATCAATTTCTCTAGGACCTCCAATGTCTCCTTTGTTGTCGTCGGACAGAACGCGATCAAGAGTAAGGATATCGTGGAAGCATTCAACAAAAAGGGAGGGGTGAGTCTTTCAAATGATCTCACTCAATGATTGTGTTCTATTATGGGCGTTGCGCAGATTTCAATTCAATGCGGCTACTTCGGTGCGTATTATCTTATTGATAATTTACGCCCAAAGTTGGACATGAATGACGGAGTCGTCCGCATCTCATTTGTCCACTATAACACCATTGAGGAAGTGGAGAAGATCGTGGATGTACTGCGGGAAGTTCTGGCTTAGTGCGCAACAAGGTACATATACATGTGACATCTGAATGTATTTTCCTAGCACTGCATAGTCGAAGATTGTTATCTATGCCTGTTGACTAAACTGTACAAGTTGCGATTTCCTGATGTTTTCTCGCGGCTAAGTAGTGAAATGAAATTTTACCACTCCCTAATGCTTCCATCCTCTCCCCTCCATATCGGGTTACGCCACGCCTCAACACCAGCTCGACTATGTTCCTTGGCACGGGTACGAACAAGTTCCTCGTTGATAATGATACCCAATCCAGGTCCTATGTAAATGTCATGTCAGGCGTTTAGCGGAGAGCATTAAGATTGGATTGTTGGAGACACAACACGTGCGGATGAAAAGAAGACCGTCAGCATGGTCATTTCTGAGGAAGAGGTTGTAAAGTGTACTATGGCCTTGGCGCAAATCTCTCCAAAAATAGAATGGACCAAACAGGGCCCGGGCAAGACTAGTACTCACCGCTGGGAGTTGTGATATATCCATCCTTCACAGCAAACACACTCGGATCTGCGAGATACGTGAAGAGGTCTGCATCATCACTGTTGTAATGCATCTACATCCAGCCAGTCTTCTAAGTGCTACGTGTCGAGGGATATTGGAGCGAGAAACCCACCTGCCAGCTCATTTCTTGAATAAAATCTAGACGGCCGGAACCATAATGAGTGCCTGTTCTATAAGGGGTAGACCACACGCCAAAGACCCACAATTGAGCTTCGATACGCCTACAGCAATACATGCAGCCAAAGCAATCGGTCCTAGCGGACAGTGCGGGGCAAGTGCGACGTCGTACGTTTCTGCCATAGATGCGATACGTGCCAACTCCGATATTCCACCGCAATGGGATACCTTATTCGTATTGTCAGCTGATTGAAACATAAGGAGATAGGCAAAAACACGACACGAGAATGGACTTTGGAGCTCAGCTGAGAGGTGAGTACTCACGTCTGGTTGTGCGACATCTAGCGCATGTCCTTCGAAGTAAGGGCGAAATTCATGTCGCGAGTAGAGCCGCTCCCCAGCAGCAATAGGAGTGGAGACGAGACGCCCAAGGTCCGCAAATTCCGAAGGTTGAGTAGGCAGAAGGGGTTCTGAATCAAATTCAAAGTACTTGTGCGAACAGACCGCACGTGAGGATGCTTCTCACCCTCGATGAATAAGACACCCTCGCCCTCAAGAAGCTTGGCGAGCTGGCGAGCCATACCCTTGTGCACCCGTCCATGAAAGTCTACTCCGACATCCATCCCTAACGCGCGAACTTCACGCACGCGTTCCACTGTCCCTTTTAAGAGCTCGGGGGAGTCAAGCCACACGAGAGCCTCTGTGTACGATTCAGACTCGTTGTATCGCAAGGCTACAGAGCCTACCGGTGGCATTCATTTTTACAGCAGTGAATCCTTGCTCTTTGCGCTCACGTGCTGCTTCACGGACAGCACTCGGATGGTCGCCACCAATCCATCCATACACACGAACACGATCCCTGACTTTACCACCTAGAAGCTGCCACACGGGAACTCCGAGCTTCTTGCCCTTGATATCCCAGAGCGCAATATCAAGGCCAGACAGAGCTGACTAGTCGAGATATACGTTTAGACGAATGGTAAACAAGGAGGCAGGTAGAGACACCCACCATTAAAACAGGTCCACCACGATAAAACCGAGCGCGGTACGCAGTCTGCCAGATATCTTCGATACCATCTGCATCCCAACCAAGGAAACGCTGTGCAAGGTCAGCGAAAGCGCCTTCAATTGCTTCGGTGTGTCCTTCCAGGGTGGATTCTCCCCAGCCAACAAACCCATCGGCTGTCTCAATACGCACAAAGAGCCAGCGTGGAGGCACGCGGAAGACCTACATTTGACAGTGAGTATACTGGGAAGCCTGCTACACATTGTGGGACGAACCTCGATCTTTGAAATGAAGCTGGAAGCTGAAGTTGTTAGGGACATGCTTGTCTTCCTTAATGGAGACGAAAAAGTGAGAGATGGAATCTCCCTTCAGCTGCATGGAATACTGGATTTTGGATTTTGAGGCTGGTCAGCTGAACATGACCGGTCCGCATAGTACCGACGAACAAATTCTTGATATATTTTCGAGCACGCGCTTAATGTGCAATGGGGCATGCGTATCGAGTAACCTTGAGCCATAGCAGCCGAAGGCAATCAGTTTTCTCATGTAGTGCACAATGCCACAAGTCACTAGCTGTTTACTCGTATAATTGGTTTTGCGAGGCTGTGATGCTCATGGCCTTGTCCCAAATAGTTGTTTTACCTCGACGAGTAATAGAAGACCGCCAGGAAGATACCCAACTGTAATGATGGCTTAGGCATTGAAGCAGAAAAAATGGATGACTTCCTGTATAATGAAGTGGTGTATATTGCTTCTGATATAGAGGACAGGAGCGTCCTACCGCACATCTCCCAAGTTATAAGCAGTACTGTCATCCACATTGCACACTTCACACACTCATCAGTCAATGAGGTACTTGCGCTTGAAAAACGACCGAAGGTGAAGAATTTGCCAAACACCAAGGGCCGCGAGGGCAAGAATGGTGAACCACGCAAAATTCTGCACGCGGCGATTCGTCACGACTGCAAGGAACCAAGATTCAGAAAAAGTAATGTGCAGGAATCCAAGGAGACTGACGATTGGTGTCTGAAAAACGTTCTTCGCGCTTCTTAAGATATTCGAGCTCGTCAACTATCTCTTTTACAACGCCTTCCAGTTTTCGCATTTCTGTCTCAAGTCCAGAGAGTGATTCTTGGTTTGCAATTGCACTTGATGACAAGGAGGGAGTCAGTAAGCTATCATAGCGAACAAACAGGGTACACACTTGTAGTCAACAGCGTCAGCCCCAATATCAATATCCAGATCGACGGTGCGCGACATATTCCGCGCCATGTCTAGTTTGATGTCTATAACGCTATAAGTAATGGCCAATAAGACACCTGCCAACAACGAACGTACCAGGGGATAGATAATTCTTGAAACAGACTCCAACCTCTCCTTCGCCATGTGCTGTGACAGCAAGTCTTGTCTCGCCTTTGATGTCGCGTTTTGAGAGATAGACGTTGCGATGGGGTGTTGAATCTAAAATTTCGATGTCTACCCGTTGGTGGGTCCCAGGTCCAACGTTGGCGGTGACGATGACAAGTGCATGGATATGTGCAGCGTTCCATATACATTTTGGGATGGGTAAACGAGCTGCTGGGAGGGCGAATTTGATGGCGTGCGTAAAAGGAGCAATGAATGCGAAGAATGCGAGAAGAGAAAGCGTTGTTACTCGTGCCATGATTAAGTGTCCTGGGTTATAATGCCAATGGCTAGAACCACCCTGGCTATCGTTAGTGCAGGAGAGAGAGAAAGCTACAACGAGCCTGAAGGGCCAATGGTCGAAGTGAATGGCAGGAGTTGTTAACGACACGAGGCTGGTAGAACGATGTGTACGGTAATCTATCAATTTACCGGGAGTTACCAGCCGGGCTGAAATTTCGATTGCGCGAAATTTTTAAGGTTGTCTTATTACCCAGAAGATATACTTTCCGTACGACCTCTCGGAATTAACAAACTGATACGGCCTGTAAGAGTTCGTATCAATGTGTTCTCGCACTTTTGTCTGGGTGTACTAAGCATTTACTTCTAGCTTCAGTTGGTGTGTTTTGCGATCATACTTTGCAAGGTTTGGATGGAAAGAAACACCCAGAAACATATGTCTGTACGTCGTGTGATCATGAGTACGGATAATTTTTGAGCTAATATCTTGCTTTTTATAATTAGTCGCTGCCACGAAAGTGGGTTCAAACATGGACCCAAGCATGATGTCAATGATCGGTCGATGTACTTCTCTACGACCATTTACCATCAACTCGAAGTCACAGAGGCATCAGGCTAGCTGGACACGACTTTGCTCACTCATGTGCAATATCATAAAGTGTATGAGATGTCCTATTCAAGCTTCCCATCGCTCAAGCAGAAGTGAAATTGGCCCAACAAAGATCAGATTCATAATGACTAACTCAACAAGTCACTAGGAATTAAGCTATGAACAATATCCCTAATACAGAGGCAGAAACATGACTCACTCTCGCGACGTACCAACTCTGCAGAATTTTGCCAGCTCTTAGGATAGCACATCCCGCCGCAATTCTATTACAACGAAGAGTGAGTCCTACGGTACAGTAGATCCAAAGCAAACTTACATAATTGTACCCGCACTTTCCAGAGCAGCACGTGGAGTCTTCGCCACAAGGCTGACCATCGGCAGTACATTCCCTGCTGAAGACAGCTGGTGTGGCACTGACATACATAGATGCTGTCAGAGCAGCAATGACGACGAGCAAGGAGAAACGCATTGGTTGCACGAGGTAATATGGGATCTATTCGAGTTCGAGTTCGGGTTCGAATGACTTTCAGATAACAGGGGGACAGCCTGCTTTTATGTCCTAAAAACCTTGCTAAACATTCTGGGAGTATACCATAAATACCGCCGCTCGTCGGCTCTGTAACGGACAGGAGAAATGGAGACTGACAGGATTTATGTAAATTATGTGGCCTAACATGTATATTTCGGATGCTCTGATTATTACGGGCTGTTCGGGTCCGATTAGGGTGCATGCATTGACCACAACCATACCCTAAGACTCTTCAAACTCTCCAGCATCGTCTCTGCAAAAAGGTGCCAGATCTTTCGGTTTGGAAACCGCCTAAGTGAATGGGTTTAGGGGTCTCGATGTGCTAGAGGCTAGTCTGCCCCTACTAACTCTACCCTAATCGTAAACTACCCTGCCGGTGAGTCATGGTCACTGGATGCAGCTAGGCGGTCATTGGACGCGGTTGCAGTTGTGCGACGGAACCTCAGGCTGTACTCCCACTAGGTATGATATAGGCTCAGCGGTATCATTCCAGAACGAGAAGGCCGGCACGGCTGGGTAACGGTAGCCCCTGACGAGAACTTCGAAACCGCTGCCATCCCCGTCATCTTAGCGTTCCCCTTGCCCCAGCTAATAGACCCTTATACTAGGAGACCGGGGACTGCAACAGGTGCTAAGAACGTGATCAGCCTCGCGACGTTCTGTTCGGACGCTCTGGGTTGGGCTTCGCCAGTCGCTATGTGTCAACAAACATCACGTGATAAGCTGCGAACCTTCGATTTTAGGCTTTGCTGATTCTTGCCATTCGCAGTTCCAAATATATATATTTCTGCACGAAAGCTTGGCGCACGTCTGTTGTGTCCCGGCGCGTACTCAATGAGGTCGTAAACTTACTGGCATTATGTTAGTAGAGGTTGAGATGGCATACCTAGCGACGGCTGGAGGTAGACTTGTATTAAACTCGATGATCAGGCCAGGATGTGTGTGTATCATTTCTCGTCCTGCATAAGCCTGACAGCAACTTGAAGAGTCTTGAAGCATGGTTGTGGTCAATGCACCCTAATCGGACCCGAACAAACTGTAATAATCAGCGTCCGAAATATACATTTTAGGCCACACAATTAAAAATATCCCAACCCTGTTAGTACCTCATTTCTCCTGTCCGTTACAGAACCGACGAGCGGTGGTTATGGTATACTCCCAGAATGTTTAGCAAGGTTTTTAGGACATAAAAGCAGGCTGTCCCCCTGTTATCTGAAAGTCATTCGAACCCGAACTCGAACTCGAATAGATCCCATATTACCTCGTGCAACCAATGCGTTTCTCCTTGCTCGCCGTCATTGCTGCTCTGACAGCATCTATGTCTGTCAGTGCCACACCAGCTGTCTTCAGCAGGGACTGTAAAGCCAATTATGTGGCCTGCAACGAAGGCTCCGAATGCTGCTCTGGAAAGTGCGGGTATAATTATGTAGGTTTGCTTTGAATCCACTGGCAGGATCTAACCTTGTACTCACCCCTTGCGCCTTGTAATAGAGGTGCGGTGGGATGTGCTATCCCAAGGACTCGCCAAATCCCAAAGAGTTGTTAGAACGCGAGAGTGAGTCATGCTTCTGCCCCTGTACTGGTGTTGTTTTTCATAGCTCGACTTCTAGTGACCTGCTGAATTGGTCGTTATTATCTTTGTTGAAGCAATTTCACTGCCGCTTGGACGATGGGAAGCCTTGAATAGAATAGAAGAATATGTCGTACAATCAATATGATATTGACTCGAAAACGCAAACATGAGTGAACAAAGTCGTCCAGCCAGCTCGCTGCCTGGATGACTCAAGTTGATAGTAAACGGTCGAAGAAATCAACCGATCGCAACGCTTGGATCCATATTTAGGTCCATATTTAAACACACTTTCTTGCCAGTGACTAAAAAGCAGCATTGATATTTCAGCTCAGAATTTGACTGGAATCACGCGCAGGCGTGAGGCTGGGGTGCAGACTTACGTTTCTGCGTGTATCTTACCCTTGCGAAGGTGCAAAGGTATCGCAAAACACACTAACTGGGGGCGACAAGCTAGAAGTAAATGCTTAGCAGCAGTCACTGTCAGGACTTGTTTGTTCAAATCTGCTTGGACTACAGACCAATATTAATATGGGTCCTTCAAGTCGTTTTCTTTCTGTACATCATGGTTATGACACAACCGCTATGCAGTGACATAGAACGCAATGGAATAACGAAGACTACCTGTAATTTTGGCAAGTAGGGGGAGAATCTGGTTCAAAATGGTACGTTTCAATCCGTGGTATATTCCAGATCATCGGTGCATGCGTCATGATTTTTGAATGCAGCCTTGCCCCGCCATCTGGTCACTTTTGTGCGTAGTAAGTGCTCGATGTCATGAATCCCTTCACATGCAGGCAGTGCTGTGCGAAATTTATTGTACCATGGCCGCCGAGAGCTGACGGCGGCAGTAAGACATGCGATTGCGCGACGAAAGCTGCATGAACGACGTACCACTGAAATTCAATAAAATGTCTGACATGAGTCTCGATAGTCTTATGAGTCGCAATATCAGGAAGTTCTTTGCATATTTCTAGGTATTCAAGAGATACTTGAACAGGATCTGGGATGACATTTGCAAATATGCTGTTCATGTATGATCAACGACATGGTACCAGGAGATAAAGGACAGCGGACAAACCAAGGATTGCCTAGCAAGGTTTCTCCCACCATGATGCCATCAGCTCGGGTCTCTTCCTTGTTCCTCTGTACATCCTCCCATGTACGAACGTTGCCATTGCTCACGACTGGTACTCTGAGTGCCGTCTTCAGAGTGCGAACCACATCTAAATCTGCGGCACCCTGACGCCGTCGTCTGGCGGATACGTGACGCGCATGAAGAGTTACCCAAGATGCACCTGCATGTTCCAGAATGGCGGCAAATTCAACTGTAGATGATGGGGGTGACGATGAAGGGCAGAGACGTAGTTTTACGGAAGTCGGTGGCTGCAATAGGTGGGACATCGCAGAAACTAGGATCACATGCCTACCAATTGAGAAGGTATTCGATAAGGTTGAAACTGCTTGCCTATGGTCTGAACGAGTGGCCAATCCTTTTTGGCTAGAAGATAACCACCGTAGTGACCCTCACGGGCATGCTCTTGTGGGCATCCTAGGTTCAAATCTAAAAACTTTGCAGTCGATTCAGTTACTAATACATTTCACTCGAGGCATTATGCCCACCAATACCGCTGCACAAGCCCTGTATCTTCTTTCCAGCTTGAACGATGATCTCAGGGTCATTACCACATAGCTGGACCACTACCGGTCCATCCGTCTCGTTACCAGCATCGCGACCAAAAGTCAAATCACGCTGATGAAACTCAAGGTAATCTCGATCCTCAAGAAGCTTGTGAGGGTCAAGCATCTGCGTATACGCGAGAGTTGCTCCATGTCGCTGTGTCAGCAGCCGGAAGGGAGCATCACTTTGCTTGATCATGGGGGCAGCGATGTAAGTAAGATCTGGAAGCGCCATTCGAGGCCAGTGAAGACGCGTTTGCCCGTAGGCTAACAAGGACACCGTGAGCTAGTACTAGTGTCACCCCGAGAGTCCGAACTGTTTGTCACTGTCAGGTTGCTGACTTGTTTGTTTAAACACTTGCTGACTAACTGTTATTCGCAGCGCATGACCTGCCAGAAGTCGGAGATTAATGTGAATTGTGTTAACGCTGCATCACGGTGAAGTCGAGCTAAGCTTCACAGCTGCAAGCCATGCTCAATTGGATGATCACTGGCATGGTTTGTGATGCACCATGCGACCATCACATTGCATCTCCCTTCGCAGTTGTACAAGACCTGAACGCACCGTCTACATGATGGGTTAGTGGAACTTTGTCCCTGTCTTGCGACATATTTATATTCGCTAACTTTCGCTGTACACAGGATCCTGGTATTTTCCTTTCTTTTCCAAACCATATCTCAATTACCCAAAACTGCACCAACACCGTTATTGTCACTGGCACAGGCTCTTCTAGTGGTAAGCATCGTACGGTGCCAGTACACTCAAGTGCAGCTCATAATACATTATCTCAAGAACTTGGATGTTGGTAAAATGTAAACGCGTTTTCGGCGATGGCTAGTAATTTCGTCTTCGACAAATCAACAAGCAGTAACAGATAGCTTGCATGCTACCTTTAGCTTATATGCAGGGTACGATCAGTACGGGTGCGTGTATCCTTTTAGATTTGGAACACCGTCTTACTATGACCTGTATCGCGTGAGGCAGGATAAGTTTCGTTCTTGTGACGATGATCTTGAGATTATGTGTGATATAATTCGTCTACTGCCGGTATAATGATGATGCAATGTATGCCTCTATCTCCTGTAGTTTGCTTCTGAACGCTGATTTCCTGTGGCAGGTGGTGGGCTATGGCTTGGCTACCGCGCATATGACAATCCAAATCTGTTGAATCATGCCATTGCAACTTAGCAGCACGTCTCGAACTAGTGAGTTCCTGTGTACATCAGTGGTAACGGATCCCGTATAACCAATATGTAACATGAAGGATCTTTTAATGGCGGTATGTTAATGAATTATTAATTTGCTGAGGTGTTGTCTAATATACAGCTAGAAACTATGGCACGCGGGGGTGTTTTTGGGGTGTTGAGAAACTTATGTTCACTCAATGGTGGTGAGGCTGGACTATATGCGCCCGGAGATCGAGTGACTACACCGGAGTTAGGGACTCTATCACTACTGGGTATGGTTTGATATTATTTTATCTTAAAATGAGTTCATCTGGTCCGACAAAGCCTCTATATAGCGGATGCCTCTGTGCTTTACCAAAGCAAAAGCAAATCACCACTGATATATGCTTAGTCTCTCGGCCTACCTCGCGTCTACAGCTAGAAATAGCACTTACACCGATGCTGCAATTCTCTCTGCTGACTTCATCAAGGCCAGCAACATGAATTCTGGAGATCTCGTCCTTAACACGATCAATGCTCAGGATTGCACATGTTCTTCATCTAGCTGGCTGTTTACTTACAACACCGGCAAGTATATCGAAGGTTTGAGCGTCCTTGGGTTCGTCACTGGTGATACTAGTTGGACTTCATTGTGAGTTTTCTTCATACACTTCGTCCTGTTGACGACATCGTTGACTTTATAGCATGCTGGACAATGTTGCCGCATCGACAAAAGTATCTGCATGGGAAGGCAGTGATGGTATCATCCATCGAGGTGCCTACGTCACAAACGATAACGACGGCGTTGGACTCAAGGGTGTGATTCTCTCCCTCATCACTCTATCGCAACTGACACGCGGGCCGTCAGTGACTGATAAGTTGAAATCATGGATCCTTCACCGGGTCTTGATATACATGTCACTCACTGTTGATCAAATGATAATGACCGCAACCGCGATAAAGGAGGAACGCGGCAGAAACCGAAACCTATGAGGAACAAATTCGTCTACCCTCTACCGGAACGTCTAGGCACAGGAGCCCTGCGCTACGATTTACCTCTTGGGTATATTGAGTCTCAACCATGTCTCAGAATAATCATTGTTAACTCGCCAAAAGTAGATAGAGTGGAAGTAGAGCGGTAATACTTTTCCGCAGCCACTGAGCAGGAATTCACTTGGACATCGCCGTACAGAAATAGGATTCATGATTGGGATCGTAAACCGTATCTTGTTAGACTGCGGTTGTCTAGTATCTTGTTACAGGTATCAGCTTCACGACGCGCGCGGTTATCCGCACTCGCAGCTTCTGACCATGAACATGTCTCGGTTACATGAATATAGACCTTCGGTATATGTAACAGATAAGAGTATGTACCCCAACAAGCTTCTAGGGTTCAACTAACCGATAATAATGTGAGACGGTATGCACACATGTGAGCATCCAGCGGTTTAGATATAGCAATCTTGCTCACATGTTTCATTCCGAAGTTGCGAAGTCATTGCAATCGCGAAGCCAAAATCAGTGGCCACCGTAAAAACATACTGCGACTTAAAGCAGTCCGGCTGACCAACTACCAACCCGAGACTGCTACTTCTTCCCTTCTTGTTTGACCCATTTCGCACACGCTGCGACATCCGCCCGCTCCGCTGCTTCTCTCAGCAACCAATATAGCATCCTAAATACGTGGACTCGGATAGTTCGTTCCATGTCATTGATGTATAACACATCGTTCAAGGGTGTTCTCTCGGTGGCGCGTGCATGGACATCAATCTTTCGCTGCAACGACGAAATCAAATCCGTAGAACGGAACAGCAAATGCATAAAACGGATCATTGCTCATGTGAGGGTAATGGCTCTGCCAGCTATAGCACATCACGAACCCGGGCCATGATAACATTGGTTCAACCGGTGCTTGTCCTTCTTTTTCCCATCGACTTCGGCCCCGGTTGTCCTGAAGGCGCGTATGAGCTAAGGGAATTTAGCCCCACCAAAGCGATAACAGTTACCACAGGACGGAATTTATGCGCCCCTGAAATAACACATACCGTTGTTGAAGATTCACCCCCGCGTCCCTACGTCTTCAGCGCATGGGACTTTCTCGAACTCAAAAAAATTGCCTCCGCTGCAAACCCGCAAAAGATAATGGCACCAGACCTTCGGCTTCCTTTCCTTGTACATCTGTAGCGCCTTTCAATCATCGCGGGAGAAGAAGACGTACGCTTCTCGTGAACCTGCGGCATGGAAGCTTTTCCGCGGTGTGTCAATGGAGGTAAGTGCATTGCGTGAGGCTCTACACTTTTTATTTTTGAGGATAGTGTTCGATCTAGCGGCATCGTCGGCGAAGCGACGTAACCTCCAGGTAACCTCACTTTGCTTCGAATTTTGAGGCAGGTTGATCCACATAGTTTGGTCACTTACGTCTTGTTGAGGAAAAGCAACAAAAACGCCTGATTTGCCGATACAGGTGATCACTGGTGATCAACTCGTGCGCTCGACTTAGCCATCATTGTCTCCTTTTCATGTACCTGAATTCTGGAGTGGGATAGCTCTCCTCATTCTAGAGGCCAGTCGGCTACCAGTGGTTTCGGGGAGAGTATCGCTGACGCTGGGACAACTCAAACTTTTGAAGTTTGCGGAGTTTTTCCATACTCCGGCGACTGGGAACAATGATAGCCGTTGCATGCTGTGGTACCCGCAGGTACGACGTAACATGTTGACTTCATACCTAATGTAATTACTACAGTCACGGCTCCGATCCGTCTCGCAAGCAAACACCAAATTCCGCCGGCTCAGGGTAACAAAATGTACTTGTTGCAGAAGAATTCGCGAGACAGCACTTCGTTTCCATTCACCTCACCCTTGCGGCAGAGCTCTAATTAAATACGTCCACGGTGACATTCGGAGAAAATATGGCTGCAAATATTTGTTTATTGCAAAAGGGCGCGTACGTAAATAACTTACAAATGCCCATAGGATTATCCAAGATGCCTGTGCTGAAATATGAAAAATTACACTACAACATTTGCAGCTCTTTAGTCCGTCCACTACAAATAAAGATGAGAGAAAATAGATAAACGAGAACTATGATGAAGGCCCAATTATAATCTTCATCACCATATTTCCATTCTCGTCTTTGCCACGAGCCAACAATTCAAAAGCTCGCGTGGTATCTGCCAAGGGAACGCGGTGTGTAATAAGTTTTTCGACATTGCGGAGTTTGCCCGATCCGAGCAGCTTGAGAGCTTCAGGGTACGTGTTGGCATAGCGGAAGGAACCTTGAATGTCTACTTCACGCAGGGCTGCTGCAGAAAGCGGAAGCATCACATTCCGTGACCCCATTCCAATCAACATGACTTTGCCGCCTGTGACAGCAGCCTGAAAGTCGCAAGTCAGCAGTGATCGAAGCTTCGCAGACCATGAACTTACGTGAATTGACATCTGGATACAGGGTTCAGCGCCCGTGCATTCGAAGACTACGTCGAAGCCCTCAGGTTCGTTAAATTTAGACAAGATAGTCGAGACGTTGTCTTTTGCACGTCGAAGCTGCTCTTCGGGCGTTCTGGCCTTGTCAACCTTGGGCAAGCAGTATGTTTGTGAAGCGAAACCATGCGATTTCGCAAAGTCCAGTCGCGTCTGGTTAATGTCAACGGCAACGACCCGAGAGGCACCATATACATTGGCCAGTGCACAAGCGAGGATGCCAATGGAACCCGTACCGAATACGAGAACACGTTGACCTGAAGCAAGTTTGGCTCGTCTAGCAGCATGTATCAAAACTGACAGAGGCTCAGCCAAGGCGGCTTGGTCAAAGCTGCAGTTGTCAGGGAGTCTGATGAGGAGTTAGAGTGTATAGAGAAACAACTATATTGGGGACTCACGGATGAATGGCGTACGCTGGATGGTTCATCCGGTCTTGTAGTGTCCCGTCAAGATGAGGGAAGGTCTTTGCGCTACTGGCAAACTGCATGTCCTTGCAAAGATTGTAACGACCAGTCTGGCAATAATTGCACTTCTTGCACATAACGCCGGCCTCTATTGCGACGCGTTGACCGAGGACTAGATTTTTCACACCCGGACCGACAGCAGTAATCACACCTGCTGATTCATGGCCAAGGACGAGGGGTGCTTGGAGTGCAAAATCACCATTGCGACCTTCTAGGTAATAGTGTACTAGGAAATTTGCTCGAAGCTCAAACTTTTGAAACGCAGAGAAGACTCACAGTCGCTTCCGCACAGTCCGGTTGACTGTATTGCTACTTGTGCATAGTTGTACTGTGGAGGCCAGAATGGGCGTTCCTCGAGACGAAGGTCCCTGGGACCGTGAAGGACGGCTGCACGTTGCAATTGGACGGTAGCAGGAGACATGATTGTGATGGGTGGAGGGAAAGTTTTAAGGGACGTACTACTGCATTCTAGTATCAACCGGTGACCTTATATATACAATATAAAGTTGCAAGAAGGAGCAATCTCGTGAGGAGAACTTCAACTTATCATACAACCAGATTGGGAAAGATTCGTTCGGTCCGGTTTGCCGCAAACGTATTTGCAAAATGCGAATCAATAACTCCGGTATATGGCCAAATCGGGACAAATATATTATAACCTCCATTTTTACCAGAAAAAAAAACATTTATCGAAATCTCGCTGCCGGTTGCTCGGCTCGTGAGCCGATGCGGGGTAAAATCAAATCTTGGTCAACAAAATGTTATACTTACTGCCCGCGACAATATAAAATCCCCTGAAGCGAGTCTCCAATCTATGTGAATCTGTCTCAAAATGGATCCAACCCCTTCCGATGTACCATCTCTACAACTTTTTGCTCTGGCAGGCCAAAATGTCCTCATCACTGGAGCTACCAGAGGTAATGTACTTGTTCCTCGCCTAGAACCTCGCTTCAACTGATCAAGGCATTTTCAATTTGTTATCTTGGTTCTTGCTCTCGCGGTTGACCTAACGACAGGCATAGGTGCTGCGTGTGCTTTGGCTTTAGCTCAAGCGGGTGCCTCAATATGTGTTGTTCAGCGCCCTCCCTCTCCGGGTGTGGAGCCGAATATGGACACAGTGAACTCCATTCGAGCGCTAGGTGTGAACACCCAAGTCGTCTATTGCGACTTGAGCAACTTGGATTCTGTCAGGGAACTTTTCCCCAAGGCACTGGAGCTCATGGGCGGTAGTATTCATGTTCTGGTCAACTGTGCTGGAATACAGCGGAGATCGCCGAGTGTCGATTTCCCGGAGAAGGACTGGGATGATGTAGGTCATTCCCTCAAGTTCTGTTTAACCTTCCCGGCATCAGATTCTCAAGTTGTACATGTTTCTCTCCACTCATTTTAGGTTCTCGACGTGAACCTCAAATCCGTGTGGCTTTTATCACAAGCGGCGGGCCAGCACATGGTTCCGCTTAGGAGGGGGAAAATCATTAATTTCTGTTCCTTGTTGACATTCCAAGGCGGCCTTACCGTCCCGGCTTATGCCGCCGCTAAGGGTGCACTCGGCCAACTCACAAAAGCTCTCAGTAACGAATGGAGCCAGCATAACGTTCAAGTGAACGGCATCTGCCCGGGGTATATTGCCACAGACATGTACGTATGTCTTTTCTTGTTATCGCTCGAGTATCTTGTGAAATCACGCCTGTTATGCGAACTCGTGACGTTAGTGATGGTTTAACAGCACCGACATCTTCCCGCCGGCTGAGCCTTCATTTCGCACATTTTATTCTCTTTACAAACTGCTATCATTCGGCCCTTTGGCGTCTACTTTTGTTCTCCGGTCTGATCACCTTTTGATATACCTTTAGGAACGAAAGGCTGCTAGCGGACCCCATACGCCTCAGACAGATATCCGAGCGGATACCAGCAGGGAGGTGGGGTAACCCCGGGGACTTTGCTGGTCCAGTAGTGTTCCTTGCCAGCGGCGCAAGTCAATATGTCTGTGGCGAATTGTTGGTTGTTGATGGTGTATGTATATTTCGCAGCTTGGTATCATAACCCTACTCATGCGTCGTTATCAGGGCTGGATGGGGCGTTAAACCTGAGACCGCCACTGTTCTCACGACAACGTGGAGAAGTCAAGAGGTTGTAAATCTATGTACATATCTAGGAAGCACTTGCAGATGAATTCCGTTTGGCAGTTTGCGTCTCCATGTGAGGAAAATACTAAATTACCTTTCAGAGTCCATCGTGGAATAGCATATTCCATGGTAGATACTTATCAGGTTATGGATCACATACCATTTCCCAATGCTCTGGGCCGGGTTAGTGTAGTGAGCGATGACCAGCCCCAAAGATAGCCTATCTTGCCTCAGGCCCGACCGCCGATCATATTTTACTCGGAGACAAGGACTAGACAAAAAATAGGCAAGCGTGATAGAAAGACATGAATCTTAAACTTAACATAGTTCTTGGCAATCATTTCTCTACCAAATTTTATTGATTCAAATTTCATAGTAAGTATGTAGTATAGTTTAGGCGCAACAAGATATGTTGAGGCAAAATCGAGTGATTTTCTGATTATCAGATTACCAAGCGGGATGCTATCGGGAATACCCGATACAGGGGCGACCTTCCAAGCGGCAAATTTTTACCGACGGGCCGTATCTTCCGGATAAAGACTAGCTAGTGATTAGGTGCCACCTCAGATTGGTTGCCCATATGTCGTTACTCGTGACAGCAGACGATCATCAACACTAGACCGTGATTACATTCGGCACACGTCCACTCGCTCTCATTCGACAAGCAGGGTATGACAAGCTGATACCAGGGCCTGGGGCAGCCATGCGGCTACAGCCGAGTTAACAGGTTCAGCGGTTTCAAACCATGCATATGTGCCACCGAAATCATTCTGGTACGTTTTTAATATCCACTCTAATGGGAACACCTGACCGGCATGATGAAGACACGGTAACAAGGCTACATGGTTTAGGTTCGCCACAACATTTATCGAGCCATGCGTCACGATGCGCATAATATGATACTAGTAATCGCACCATTTAGAATCGGAGGGTCTTTGTTACAATGGTGGTAAGTCTAGGGCTTACTATTCGGCTGCGGATCTAGTTTAATCACCAGTACGTGGCACTTCTAGCAAAAGAAAATGAGGGGACGAACATCGGTGAACGATTTCCCTTCGGTGTTTATGAGGAAACGAAGAGGGGCGAGCATTGGTGCCGGATCCTACTAAACCAACACAGATATCGCCAGCATTATCATCCGACTCGGGGTTGCACATGCCATAGGCGACAAGACTACCTGTGGAGCTAATTGGATGCTTCTGAGTCGATACAGAATGCCACCCTGTGATCAGCGGCCCCATCGGTGAAGAAAAGCGGTTAACGCAAGGTAGCAACTCAATCTATTTTTTCATGCATGATCGAAATAAGGAAGGCGAAGCGGACAAGAAATGACAAAACAGATGCATGTTTGCAGCGAGATTTCCCCGCAAATCTTTGCGTCAAACTAGCTCCAACTTGTGAAAAAACCCGGTCACATCGTGAAGTTAGTCATATATTTGCGTTCGGTCGACTATCTGGGCTTCGAATTCGTATGCGTATTAGAAGTTCTTCTAGTTGAAACTTTTCAAGCCAACCCGCGAGAGTCGTGGAACCGTAGAATGATCATCAATCATGTATCATCCATAGGCAACCAACTGATAAATTGATATTGTCAGAAGGAGTTTCAGAGAGCAACCCGAGTGCATCATATGTTCACGCGGACCGGTACTCCTGAGGGCGACCGAATCATTCGTATACACATGAAAGTCTGCTCAAAGGGCTTTCAAGGGTCGTTGTCCGACGCTGTTAGCCGTGCCTTGTGATGTCACAACTGGCAATAACGTAGCTTACTCCGGAGGTTCGGTACGATTCGATTCGCTTCAGGGGTACATGGTACGTCCCATATCGTGAACGTTTGTTGTACCTAGATGTTATTTCAGATAAGAATACAGCAACTACGGCGAGATGGAGCCAAGTGATGCAGACCGCGTGTTTGGCCAATATTGTGGTGGTCTGGGCTCACATGAACGGCTAATGGTTCATAAAAATTTTGTTCAAAGGCGATCTTCAGCCGGGCGAAAGTGGTTCTCCCTGGACGGACCATACGAAGATAGGGTAAAGGTTTAACGTCGTTGAACCACCCACCTTCTATTCTGGCCTTGAAGTTGTGACATCAACAAGCGCTTCATGTCCTAGTGTACAAAGTTCGACAGGTCGATCTGTTTGCGGGTTGCTGGGCTGATTGAGCGGAGCACGAACAAACGTTGATGTCATTATACGTCAGTGGTGATGTTGCTACGTCGTGATTGGATCGAATTTGGGAGACATACATTCCATTGTCATGAGCTATTGAGGGAATACCCAACAAATCTTTTCGGAACTTCATGGCGAAGACTCGCCGTGACGTAGTCATATATGCTGAGAAATCACAATGGATGAGTCTGGAAAACATGAGATGACTAATACGTACAGTTCCGATGTTTAGCGCTATATAAATTAACTGGGCATTGTTCAGACGAGATAAGTATTTGGTCACATCTGGGCCATAAAGGTCTTCCCCCAGCCGCGGCGATTTCGCCAATGCTCGGACCGAGCTAACGTTCAGTTCTCGTCCAATCACAGGTTGGCCCTACAGAAGCCGACGGAGATGAAAGCTGGAAGTCGTGTTTGAGTCGCTTCATGCATGGATTTCCAGGATGTAGGATAGAATCTTGACCTTTGTATTCTCAGTACCTCTAGGCAGACCAAATAGAAGGAAGATGATACTTCCATCTTGTAGTACGATGGCGCGCGACCGTTCAGCGACCTCGGAACAACTTTACCAGACTCGGAATAATGATAGATCTCTCCGAGCCTGATTGTAAACTTGAAGATCTTGAAGAGTCCAGAATATCCTGAGCTACTGTGTGCAGAGAAACAGGTTGCGCTCGTCAACCACCTTATGGGGGACTCGAAAATTACGGACATCGGAAGTTGAGTGAGCGCTAGCCTTGATCAAGGTTGCCCGTGTTGCATTCGAAGATCAGCAGACTACCTCGTGCAACTCATTTATGACAAACCTAGTTACTTCCCCGGCAACCCCGAGTCAGTTGCTTCATCTCCGTTCATTCTTCCGAAAGTGCGAACGGTGCTGCAATGACCTGAAAAGCTGATACGAGCGCGATGAGGAGCTCCATCGTCTGCATTCATAGATAAAATGCAGCTCAATCGATATTACGTGGCATACGACTCGGAGTTGATGTTGTAGAACTTCGGACATGCCGCAGTACTGTCTGAGCGCCATGATCGTAATCATTGTAGTCATTCAGTCAGGTGGCAGTAGCTCCAGACTTATCAGAAGTGCTCGGGCTCATCCGATTCGTCAATAGTACTACCGCGACTTCATGAAGGGTTCTGGACTGCTCGAGATTGTGAATTGAAAGAGTTGTGACGCATGAAGTGTAAGTTCAACAGCCCTAAAGCTTTAAAGTTTGAGACACAGACACGACTGATCAAGATGGTATCGTTTACCAAATTTTCAGGAGGGGAATCATAATGGGTTCTTCTGGGAATAAGAATGATGTCCGATAGCCTGCCTGGATTAGATTACCTGTCTATCTGCGACGACCATCGCCCTGGTCTTCGGCTCAAGTCCTCAGTGAATCACTTGCCAAGCTATACAAATGTCAGATGCGCAAGACCTGTTGGAATACCTGATGGGTACAAATCCCTCGCGTAAGCGAGATGTGCTGGACGATCTCGTACAAGTTACGATGGATAAGATCTGCGAGGAAGGACTGTACGATAAGGAGCGCAAAAAGTGGATGAAGAACGGGAGGGAGATGTTTGATGGGGTAGACCAGAAGGGCGATGTGATGACGATCACGAGGGCCATTCAACAGATAGCAGCTCAACACTCAACACCGGGGGGCCCACTCCGCTCACAGCCACGCATTCCTACTATGAGCACAACCCGGATTGATACCCCGAATGCGGCCATCCCTAACATGTCTGAATCGCACTTTCGACCTCGGGGTGTCAAAGATATTAAGATAGAAGAAGGATATTCCACAGATGTGTTTGAAAGCCCTCAAACATTGGAAATAAAGAGAAGATTCAGGTCTGGAGTCCACAGGTAAGTTCCTTTGAGTGATTACCTCTTACAAGGGGGTTGACAGATTATCGGATGGATAGGAAACACGACGTCGTAACCCTGACTTGGGCGCTTTAAGGAACTGGGGTTCTTGACAACATTTGGTTTACACGTGCGCCCGATGGACAAGCAGAATGTACTTTTAGATCATCCAAGATGGGCCAAGACGTAAATGGCCTAGGCAGTCATGTCCGCAGCGTGCTTTGGTCTGAAATCAGAGTACGAGAGTCAGAGGTACCTGTATGAGTACTGAAAGTGTCAATGTCTAGGATACAAATTAAGTGACCTCACTTTCGGACTCGAAGTCACTGCCGTCAATGGGAGTAGCCATCGCTCAAACGAAAAACGACAAGAGCACTAGATCCCAATAAAATAATAATAAAGATAATAGAGTTAATACAACGCCTAACGATACAGCTGATAACATAGGGTTCTTCACTTGCCGCCAGAGCTCGAGAACTGTCTCAGCCGTTAGGGACAGTTTGCGAATAGAGTGACGTAAATCTTACCTTGGTCACGGATTTTGTGCCCTCAGAGATAGCATGCTTGGCAAGCTCTCCGGGAAGTATGAGACGGACTGCCGTCTGTATCTCACGAGATGAAATTGTCGATTTCTTGGAATATGCAGCGAGCTCTAAAATTAACGGTTAAGTGAGATCGAAAGAAGGTGAAAAGTACATACTTGAAGCTTCCGTAGCAATGCGTTCGAAAATGTCGTTGACAAACGAGTTCAAGATTGCCATAGCTTTATTAGATATGCCAGTGTCTGGGTGTACCTGCTTGAGCACTTTGAAAAAACATGTCAGACCAAAAGCTTTCTGCCTAGTAGAGTGACGCGTTACCCTTGTAGACGTAAGAAGAGTAGGTCTCCTTGCGGACTTTCTTCCGCTTCTTCTTTTCCTCTCCAGCGGCTGGGGCTGTGGCAGTCTTAGAGGTCTTCTTCGCAGCTTTAGCAGTACCCTCGGTGGTTTTGATAGGGGCTTTAGTGGCAGCACCAGAAGCTGGGGCTTTACCAGCAGTTGACGTGGGTTTAGGTGGCATATCGGCGAAAATTATGAGATTTACTATGATAACTCAACAGTGCGGGAGGGATGGCGGTTACAACGTTCGGGAGGCGCGAACGACATCTCCTATATATACCTTCACGTGACTTTACACTTATTTGGCTACGACGCGTCTTTGTTGATTGTGGCGCGCGTCTAGACTGTGGACTATAAATACAGCGTTCCGTCTAGCTAGTTACCTTCTAACCCATCTCAACTCAAAACTTTGCCTGCTCTACCTTTTTTTTCAACCAACCACTACACACTCTTCATTATGCCTTCTGCAAAGTCAAGCGGCAAGGGTAAGGTCAGCGGCAAGGTCAAGAGTGAAGAAACCAAGTCCACGTCGCGTTCTACTAGAGCTGGCCTCCAGTTCCCAGTCAGCCGTATTCATCGCATGTTGAGGAAATCCAATGTCAGCAAGCGCATTGGGTCTGGCGCACCCGGTGGGTTGCCAAGTGTTTTAGTCTCGCATTGAAACTGACGCGTGTTTTGTAGTCTACCTTGCTGCCGTACTAGAGTACTTGTCAGCTGAAATCTTGGAGTTGGCAGGAAATGCAGCTCGTGACAACAAGAAACGTCGCATCAACCCTCGTCACCTTCAACTAGCCATTCGTAATGATGAAGAGTGCGCCCCTATATTAGCTGACTTGCCGCAGTCTTGACTTACTTCGTCCTCAGGTTGAGTAAACTGCTCGGAGATGTGATCATCTCTGAGGGTGGTGTCGTACCTTACATCAACCCTGCAGTACGTTTTTTTTCCTTTACCAGCTGCTCAATCATTTTAAATGGCTTCGATTAGCTCCTGCCTGCAAAAAGCAAGAAACAAAGCCTTGACAGCCAAGAGGTGTAACCCACCCCGTGTATCACTTTCGCATGCCTCCTTGTGTACCACCACTGTGCATATTTACTTAGTATACTTAATCTGTAGGACGTTCTTCTCAACGTGCTCCGAGTTCCGCACCCATGCGCAGAGAATCCAAAGCAACACTTTGCGTGCAGCGTTGTCTTTATTGCCAGAACAAATACAATTGTCAGTGCAGTCGAAACCCCCTAAATTCAACTTTGCCCGACACTACGTGTTCGTAGCGTGGTGGCAGCATTTTGTATGATGTAGACCTATGCCTAGGTTATTACCTATGATATCATATGACAGTTGTTCCGACAACTTGAGCGTCCAATAAACATCACTCGATTTGGTGCAAAAACAGGGAAGTAGGATATCCACTTATCAGGATCCGCGATTTAACCAGCCAACGTGCAAGCCCGTCATTGTCTTCACGTTCTCTGGATACGAATGGGTGCTCTCCGTCAATAGCCCTGCGAGCTTGCGACAAACGTCGATTGGATAGAAGAGGTGCTCTGCTTGAGGAAATCCGGGGTATCGAGACAGTAGGCTACGTACAAGAGGTCAGAGGGATGAATTAATGTTCATCAAAGATCACGCACTCTTTCAAAGCCATCGTTGACGACGACGGCCCCAAAATTTTGTACAACACTTTTGACGCGTCGATGGAACCCTGTTTCGGAATAAGGTATGACGTAGGCAGCATATACGAAACTCGAATCCTCGGCTTGAACAGCCATACCTTACGCGGAGTGTAAGAAATCTAAACAATATGATTAAAGATCACAACAAACCAAAATTCGCGGCCGCTCCTCTTCTTCATCAGAGATAACAAAGCGGTACGTTGCATGAGCAGACACATGCTCGAGCATATCTTGCATGATGAATGCAGACATTGGAAATCGGGGAATTCTGTTAAGGCCGTCAGCACACTAATATAGGTATACTGTGACTACGAACTCCGCTGTTTGGCTCACTGGCCGCACCGCATACTTGAACAAACGGTACATCCCTGAAGCTGTGCCGTCTGGGTCGTGTCGCTCATGCCGCCGACCAATTATTGCGCCGCATATACATCGTGCCAGCCACGACTCTCCATCTCGCTAAAGATAATAAATCAGTTTACCATCAAAATTGATAAGGAGAAAAAAAAGTTATAAAATTGTGCACTCGAGCGTAGCTCCCATCACATGATCCTCAGTGAAGAGAGTTGTTTGAAAGAGTGACTCGCGAGTTGCCCCGCGTTCGATTTTGGACGTTTTGTATCAACCGAAAGTGAAACTTGCCGCAGTCTCACGACGCATACCCCACTACTTGATAGTGCAAAGAAACCTGCGGGGGCTTCTAAGGTATCAAGGCAGAGCACCGACGATCGACTAGCAGCCGCTGGTGGAAGCCCAACGTCGGCCTTCTTGTTCGTCCTACAATAGCACGAGTTCAATAAGAGATATATATTTACCAGGGGCTGTTCGGTGCAGGAGACGTTGTTGGATACTATTGCCGATTGCTGGAAGAGAATATAGCCACCTCCAACCAGAGCCTCGCTATCCTCTGGCCAGAAACCACGTCCATGCTTCGCGGTGTGATTATGTAGTGTTTGGTCTGCATGGCACATCCAGGCATCGACAAGTTCTTCCCAATATTCTGATGGGAGGTCACGGTATTTGAACAACTTTGGGTAATGGACGAGGGGGAGCGAGCAAGATATGCAGGACCAGGATGTTGGCTTCGATGATAGGAGTTGTTCAGCAGACATCAACGGGGTAGGTTCATCGGATGAAGAGGACCTCGCCGTCTGTGGGTTCGCAATCCCAAGTTTGAGCTCGTAGTGTCCTTGGCGAATTTGAACATCTTTCTTTCCAGGGGTGACTTGGACAGGTAAGCTTAGTGGAGGCGAGGAGGCCCAAGAACTCCTAATCACCAACCAATCACCTTCTGTCCCACTGGATGACGTTGGCAACACTTCAGCCTGTAGTTCTGTGTCAACGGGAATGCCTGATACTGCTACGAAGACCAGGACATGTCTCAAGGTCTCGTGATATTCGGCGACATATGAAACATTGAGTGCAATGCTCCCTGCAAAACTTTGGTTAGTTTTGTCGATGATAATGTCCAAGTGTTTACCTTGTTGCTGCGACTCTTCGGTTCCAGATTGGATAAGCCCGTGGGACGAGCCCGGTCTGCTGGTGCTCTTAGACAGCCGTCGGCTAAATTCCGCTGCAGGGCGTAACCATTGTGGGGCAGATATGCTTCGACTGCGTAACTTTTTGTGAGTCATTGCCGAAACGTCAGGAACCGGCTCCTCGGGTGCATCTCCAGAAGGGGATTTATGTTGGCGCGACTCGGATGGGATACCCGACATTGATTCGCGAATGAACTCAGGGAGCGTGACAAGTTCATCCAGTGCTCTAACTTTGGGCTGCAGGATGGCATCTTGGTCATGCAATCGCCCGGCTCCCGAGCGTTGGATAAGATGGTCGACGAATGCACCTCGCTGGAATGATTACTTTGATAAGCGATTGTCTCCAGTCAAAGCAGATAGGAAATACCTGATTTTCGTACTCCTGCCTTGCTTGCCTGAACCTGATCATTCGTGTGCTATCCATGACAACCGATTGATCAGTCAACTTGCGGTCTGACGCTTTCCGGATGAGCTCAAGCATATGGTCAAGGTCGCGCATATCCCGGTCATGAGCTTTCTGCTTGCCCTTAGATAAAGAAGGCTGGACTTTAGGACCTTCAAGCCGTGCACGCTCCATTTGGGCGAGCTTGGCGCTCTTCAATTCCACTCGTTGGTTGTGTAGCTGGGGTGCAACGATATACAGGCGCTCGATTGCCAGCATCACGGCATCAAAATCCATGCGCAATTTTTCGTTGGGGATGCTGGGAGATGGTATCGACCGTGGTGGCTGTATGCCAGCCTTCTCGGAAGATGATTGATACTCAGCATCGTATTCTGGGGGTGTCTCGAAGTCGTGGCCTGCATGGTCATATTGTGGGGGGAGGTGATCTAAGGAGGGGGAACGGTGGGAATCGGCGCGATCTTTACAAAGTGCCGTTACAGCTTCTAGTTTTCGTTCAATCTTGGACCAAAGGAGCGCAGTTTGTACAGTTTGTACTGGGGATTGCGGGGAGAGAGTGTTTGCCCTTGCCCTCCCTTCCAACTGCAGATCGCCAAGCTGCTTTTTCAGGGTACTTAACAGATCAGCGGGATATCGAACGACAAGGTCAGGAGAAGTGGATGAAGATGCTTGAAGGGCTAAATCCAAAGGGGGAGAAACTGCAGGCAACTGGTCCAAGTCCAAAAGGAGTGATACTATGACTTGTGCAAAATGTGCATCCTGTCTGTTCATAGAAGGCGCCAGGGCATCGACTCGATCCCTAAGTTCTTCTAGGAGAGCTGTGTGGTCATCCAGGACTTTGCGGGGTATCTCCCCACCATCATGATTTCTGAGATTTAACACAAGCGTCTCGAGCGCGGAGTATGATTGCGGCGTCCGTTCGAAGTGCATAGAAGCTGGCATCGAATGGCGCCTGTCTGGGACAATTGGCTGCCATCTTCTAGGGACAGATAACAAATTGTTGAGTGTCATGAGACACGAATTTTGTACGGCAGTGATTGATGGCATGATAACAGTCTGCAAAATTGAGCTAAGGATTATTCACAGACACATCGTTAAGGTATCCATCACTCACGAGCAGTCTTTCTGGCGCAATATGGTCTACATTATGTAGCGCTGCCGTCGATTGCGGCTTGCTTTGCGATATGCTCCCATTGGCATGAGCTTCATACTCTACTTGCTCCCCGGCAAGTTCTTCCAAAAGTGCTTCTTGAAGTAGTTGCTCTCTTTCGTCTGCGCTGGGAAATGGTTTTGGAACGGAAGTTCGAAGGATTTCGTCCTGTTCGACGGGCTGTACGACTTGGGTGCGAACGAGAGTCGCCATGAGCAGCGTTCGAACTTCGGACCGTTCACTTCTGGGGTTTGGCTAAAATAGTTGGTGGAAGCAATTGATAACACTGGCACTGGCACGTGGCCCGATACGCCACGGTTCGGCAGCAAAAGTTTGTAGCACTTTTTGCTCCCTTGAGCTCGTTGTTAGCGATAGCGGGGAAGTAATGAAAAGTGAGCTGGGGACTACTGTTGGGACCTGCAAATGGTAGGGATGGGATATCTGGAGCATCATAAGTTATCCAAGTTATTAATAATTTAATACTTGCCAAGTCGCGTCTCAGGTCTATCAAGATTCAACACATTATGGCAGTGTCTTACTCATAACTTTTCATGATGAGTGGCGAATAACTCGGTTCCCAACTCCTTTCGTGACAGGCTCTTTCAAATGGAATGTATCGTTGCTTCTCGCCTGCTTCGAGTCTATGCCCTTCTTCACTCACTGGCAGCATCACCAGAACTCTCATAAAAACCACATCCTATCAAAAGTTTCATAACTAGAACTATCTTTAACGCCTACTTGCACTGCAGCTGCCACAGCCGTGTATAACAATATGCATCACGGTATGATATATTTTATTTTGCAAACGAAACGTGGCTGAACCTGTGCACGACTTCCCAGCTACCGGTCCCGCGCCTGTAGCTGGTCTTTTTAAAGATTGCGCAGGTGATCTCCTCGGAGAGACGGCTAATCAACCCCGCGTTGATCCTTCAAAATTCGATACCAAACGGAGGCAGACATTGCTCAATCTCCTAAATGCTTTAAACGAGCTTAGCCAGGCTGAATGTCTTGACCGAGGTCAGCTTTCCGTGCTATGTAATCCTAGACTGCTTATCGACTTCTCAACTCAGACTTTGATCAGAATCCAAGCTTTGAGGATGACAGAGATGCCCGTGAGTAGGATCGCCTGACAGCTGTACCTTTGGTTGAACATCGGATTAGCGACTGTGGACGAGCAACTGCAGGTTTCCGGAGCAGAGAAATTTAACAGATTTCAAAAGTTCGTTTACCATCAACCCTAAATTTTTTTGGCATTAAATTTTCCTTCAGAAGGATCAATAGTCTCGACAAAGAGGTCACTGCTGTTTAACAACAAGTTTTGCGGCTGATTAGGCTGACATGGTATTCACACTGACAGCTCAGAAACTTCGGCAATGCTGCACGACAACTTGGTAGTTCAGTCGGAATTCTGTCCTCCGCATTTCGGCTCCGAGAACGTCTTGCACAAATCCTTTTCCTTTTCCGGGACAATGCGGCTGATCTCTTTCCTCGGAAAATCTCTCGTCAGCAACGCGAATTTTTGGTCAACCCCAATCTAATGGACAGAAAGCGCAATGCTCGGCGGCGGAAGAGCATGCCAGGACGTGTTCCTGTTAATATTGAAGACAGCCTTGATCTTGAGAGCCTCCCAGAGCAGTTTGAGAACTTCGCTGCTGCCCTCATGACCTTCTTGAAATGCTTGAACGAATTTCCGGAATTCACTGATGAGGCTGTTAACACTTCGATAAAATCATTCGAGGGCGATTTGAAGGTATAAATTTACACCTTTTGTGTAGCACTTGATTAATTTTTAGCAGTACTGGGCATGTTGTTTACAAGAATATAGAGGTAAGCCTCTCCCAGTCTCATAGGACTCAATGACCTGTGATTCTAAATATCTTTTATCAGGACAATTCAAATACCCTGCTGTACAGCGTTATGTTCATGACCTTACGGCTGAAATGGGAGAGCACATCGACAGCATTACTGGGACGTTATCTATGTTCATCGAAGTTGGTGTGTGATCCCCTGGTCTACTCAGGCGACATGATTCTAATTTAGTTCGAGGTGTCCCAACTATTCGATTCGCACAGAAGCACGCTGCAGCAAATCTTTTAACTCTGTCCACCGTTGCCACCTTCTTCTCCGCCGTCACTGCGACCACACTGCAGTTCTCGTATTCTCAGACTGGAGATATGCTCTCTGACGGAGTTAATGCATTCTGGTTCTCCTCGCTTGTATTCAGCATCGCTGCTGCTGTTAATAGTTTGCTGGGGCTTTCTTGGAAACAGGCTATGTAGTGAGTATCCTTCGGACCTGAAGCAAGTCCCAGCTGATGCGTATAGTCGATCACCTGGTGATCGCGTGCCGTGGTGGGTACTGATGTGGATTAAACGATCACCCTTAGTATTTCTGGTGATGTCTGTGACTTGCTTCTCGGCTGGACTTGTACTGTTCACATATTCTACACAACAGGTGAGTTCCCTTAGCTATTTTCGAAATTTCCTTCTACTTATGATGTATCACAGGGCAAAGTTACATCTACAATCACAACCGTTTTTACTGCGTTCACCTCATTTGGCCTAGCAGCGGTTTCAGCCTGGGTTGCCTCTGAGAAATGGACATTTGTGCATCATCGTGGGTCGAAGTGGCTTTCTGATGTTCTGAAAGATGCTCTGCGACGCTTCATGGCTCTGCGTTTTGTCTCATTTGTTAGCAAAACCTTTGGTTGGAGCTCGCGGTATGTGCAAAAAGGTGTTGAATTTGCAGGTCACAAATGTAGACGGGTGTCATCGATGGGGACAATCACGACAACCGCGATAGAGCAAGGCGACAACCTGACTACTGGCGAGTATGCTCACACTATATCACGCTCTCCTGAACCCCTTTCTCCGCTATCACCCATCCGACAATCCACAGACTCCTACTCGCGTTTCAGTGGCGAGGGTTCTTCACATCCCAACTTGGAGTCACCAACCACCACCTTCAGCGGCACGTCAAGCTCTCCGATTACAGCGCGAGACCGTTTAACAAGTGCCATTCGGTCCGTCATGATGCTTCAGTCTGCAACATCTTCTCCTAGCAGCCCATTTTCTCCTGTGCGGAAACGAACAACTTCGTCGGCATTCACAGATACATCGAGAGCGATGCCAGAGACAGGTATCACTACAACATTTAGAGGCTCCAAAGTTGCTTCTCTCATATCTAAGCTCAAGAGCTTAGAGACAACGCAAGATTTGGCTGCGCATTCAGCACTCGTCAGGCACTTGCAATTTTCACCCAATGGGAAGTTTTTAGCAACTTCAAGGTATTCCCTTCCAGCCTGCGGAGTACGCTGTGTATTGATGTTTTTAATAGCTGGGATCGGACATCCATCATCTTCCGCGTCGGGGTGTGTGGTGCTAGTGGTTGATTAAGACGTGGCAATGATATCTCTACAGGATCCTTGTGTGCCCCATCGTGTGCTTGCACATGCTTCTGGCTTTGTGGGTCAAGTTGCTTGGTACGCTATTCTTGCTTCGTGTCCATGGCTTGCTGATCTTTTGGTAAGGTCCCCAATCGGTGTACTTCTCCTTACACGGTTGAATCGGGCTATCAAAATTTGGACAGAGGTTGGTTGAACTGGAAGCAGAGTAATGCCGTGCTGAATTGTATGTCATTTTTAGGATGGAGTGTGTCGAAAAACCATCGAACGTCAGCATCATGTCCAGTCAATTGCATGGTTACCTAGAGGGGAAGGTGAGGTTCCAACTCGCACTCGTAGACTATGCCAACAAGTGATCTTCGCAGCATTTCTGTCCGTCGAGGGTAGCGAAGTGGTCAAATTGGTGAGTGGTCATCGCGCTCTTATTTATGACGTGTCCACTCATTTCGACAGGATCTTAACGGCAATGTGCGTGCACCAAGGTCAATTTTTTGGAACGCTGCTCAAGTCTCGTTCTTCAGGTCCTCGACACGTATCGCTTCAATCGGTTGTTCATTCATGATGTGGCCATTACTCCCGATCTACAGTGGTTATTGGGCGTCGGGCCGATCCTATATTCTCCCAAAGGATTGCATCCTAGCAAGTCCCGAGTAGAAAAACAGCTTTTGGGTATGTTCACTGTCGTCTTTCGTGGGATCTGATTTCTTATCTATTTTAGTTTATAACATCCAGACGAAGGTTATAGAAAAGTGAGCTCATCAGTATGATGCTTTGAGGCATTTATTGACGACTTGTGGCAGCCAAACGCCAGTACTGAATGATGTTCGTGATATAACGCTGGCTAAGAACGGACAAGTGGCTCTGGTCTCTTATGAAAACAAGGTCTGTCAGTATATCGCCGATTCGCCTATTTTGCTCAGTTTCTCTCGTGCATACATCTAGGCATTCCCCCAGCTGTGGAAGTTAGAAATAGTCAAGGATCAGGCGCGGCTGACTCTGCGTCATACTTATATGCCCAAAGTGCCAGTTGACTTCGCAGGACCGAGCTATTTTGGGGGCAAGGATGATCAGCTTGTGCTTTGTGCCGGCAAGGGTGCGCTATTTCCGGTTCTTCCCAGCCCTGTAACTGAACGACTGCTGAGCAGCTGGTGATATACATATCTGGGACCGCGATTCAGCCGTGCTTCTTCATCATGTCCGTGCCCAAGCCCTAGGCGGGGACCTGACGTGTGTCGCATGGAATCATGCTTCGGATAACCCTTTCATGTTTGCTACGGGAAGCCACGATGGTGCGGTCAGATTGTGGACGACGACGAATGACTATCGACCATGCGAGTCTAGTCGCCGTCACCTTACAGTGACTACACAATCTACACCGTATTCTGTTACCCCTTGCTCGCCTTCACCTGTTGATAGTGGTTTTCAGACAGATAGCGCCGGCACACAATTTGGGGAATACACCCCGGAGCCATTAACACTCACGCCTGTGGAAGA